CAAAGGGTGATAAATGAATTGCATAATTTATGGTAGCCACAGCAATGCAATGGATATGTGGCAACCATATGTAGATAAGAAGGCATGCTGTAGCGGAGGTGCATGTGTATATGGTTGTGTAAAAAAAAACAGGTTAATTAGGTCTGTGATGATAGTGTGGCAATGACGACCAGCATGACCGGGGGTGGTGTAAACGCATGTTTAACCATCAGAGCCCAGGGGGGAGAATTAACAATGGAGAACTAGGATGACTCACATGGGTTAATAATGCAGACCGTGGTTATAATATGGTGGCAATTTCCAACTCCTCATTGAGGCCAGTGGGGGATAGGGTGTCAAGGGCATGTATCCAAAATGTCTCCCTATGGCAGAGTTAATGGAAGCGCTCTGCCTCAGGGAGACCAATGGGCATTACCTAGACCACCCAAACCCGAATGCCCACCCTGGATTTGTTATGGGTATCCAAAAAATGGGGGGGGACACTGTGCTCATCCTTTCCACCTTCAATTAGGCGACGATGTTTTCCAAACCTGCAACGCAGGGTACGTGTGGTATGTCCCACATACAAGAGACCACAGGGACAACTAAGGCAGTAGACAACAAATGTGGATGAGCAATTGCAGAATTCAGTGAACTTGTAATATTTTCCTTTGTGTTGAAAGCCCTTTTGGCCACGTTGCATAAATTGGCATGTTTTACAGCGAGCTTTACGACATTGGAACATGCCTATGATGGGGGGGGAGAATAGGGAGGGTACATGCTGGGGCTGAACAGATTTTAATTTGCTGGGGGCTACTTTGTTCTTTAGATTGGGGGCTTTTTTTTAAGTGATGATGGGTTTGGGGGGAATAACATCTCTTAAATGGGGATCTTGTAGCAAGATGTCCCAATGTTTTCTGAAAACGTTTCTCATTTTTTGGTGTCTCCCATGGAATCTGGTGGTGAATCTGAATGTATGGTGGGGATCCTCAGTAGATCTATTAGTATTAGGTTTACCAGACAGGTAGGAAGCATATGCTTCATCTACCAATTTGTTGGGATACCCTTTTTCAGCTAGCTGCTATTATTTCAGAAGCGCTCGCTTGATCAGTATTTATTATTGAGATGGATGGAGCAGTGTACTCTCTCTGGAGCAATTATGAATTCATCCAATGAATGGGGCACTCTACTGGGTGTAATAATGAATCATTGAAATGGAATGGAGCAGTCTGTGGGAGCAAGCAATGACTGCAGTGGAGGAGCACCACCATCGACAGTGGCAGCCTTGTGAGCTGCAGATGCCTGTAAAGCCATACCTAAAACTGTTGAGCAACTTTGCAGAGACATACATAACCACTTTGCACATAATTGCAAACATATACAGTTGTATCAGGAATTTCTTGAGGCAGATTGAGATTTGAAAAGCAGTCTGAGAGTAAGCTGGGGAGGGGGGTGGATGGGAAATGGATAGTAAATAATGTATGTCAGCTGGACATTAGGAATTGGCTGGTGAGTGATGCCTGTTGTTTGAAGGGGTGGGAAGTAACTAATGAGTGAAGTGTGTCAGCTGGGGCTGGGGAGTGGGCAGCAGTATGCAGCCAGTGCAAGCTGCAGAACCCAGGACAGGGCATTCTCTACTAGCAGCTGCTTGTCAGTTGGCATTCAGTAAACTGTGTGTGGGTAGGACAGGAGCATGTTGCCCAGCCTCAGTCCCTTTACCCCTGGTTCACATATATGCGGCCATGCGGGCCGTGTTTTGCATGGGCACGAGAGCCCATTCATTTGAATGGACTCTCGTGCCCTGTGACATGCAGGGAAGAAGTTCTTGCACTTCTTCTGAAAACACAACCCACACGGGAACCTCGGTTCCCAGTACGGTTGCGTTTCTCAGTACAGGTGGCGTGCCATTAGAATTAATGGCACCCTTCCTCTGTGCGGGTGGTGCGGCTGCACGGATTTTTGGTGGATCCGCAGCCGCACCACACGCACATATGTGAACCTAGCCTTAGGACGGATGAGAGTGCCAAGGCTAGTACCAATTAAGAGAGATGTTTGTCTGGGGGTGTTACCAGATGTTGGGAAGGTTTTATATAAGGGAGGGTGGTAAGGTGCAAATAGGGCAGGAGGGTAAGAGGATCTCAATGCTGCTGATATCCTCCATACTCTATCAGCCTCTTAACTCTACATATACCAGTTTTAGCAATGGCAGCTGCTCTGTATGCAAACACAACCCTCTGTTTTTAACGCAAACTATTAGACAGGGCTAATTTGGTTGTATTGCAGGCTGGTCAGTAAGCGTGCTGGGAATTTTTTGTTTGTTAGTGATGGACCATGCTCGCACAATGTGTGTCAACACACATTGTGGTTTTTACAGGATGACAATCGAGGAGAACAACTGGAAAATAGTTATCAAGCCACAACAAAAAGTGCTTCAACAAAGACCTTCATGTAGGATACCATTTTTTTAATGAAAGCTGCAGATTAAGAAATATTAAAAATGTCTTTTAGAATTACATTACCATTTATTATTATAATTATTTTTTTTCAGGATTAATATAATGCCAACAGTTTGCGCAGTGCTTTATGATATAAAGGAAAACAGTACAGTTACAATATAATACAAGAGGATTAAGACATTTAAAAGCGTGCATGATATTTGAGTGACTGGGTTTAGATCTACAATACTTTACAGAAACTAGCATACCAAATGTGCAGAACCTGGTGTAGTTACAAAGGTTATGATTACCTCTGGGCATTAAGGAGTTAACCTAATCTGTCCATTCTTAGTCACGAACCTAAGTCTAAACTGTGTCCCTTTAGAGAACTGTGATCTTTCTTAAAATAATAAAATTAAGTGAAATATTAAAAAACCTCATGAGGTGCAAAATTTTAAATGTAAGGAGTTTATGTTTTACAAAACAAACAGAGGGCCCATTGAAGTAATTTTTGCTCTGGGCCCACTTATGGCTTAAATCAGCCCCGATACTGGTACATAGAACAATTTTATTTGGTTTGCTCACACAGAGAAAGAAACACTTCTTACAATATGACATTATGTCACATTTCAGAGGTTTAGGAAATAAGGCTCATTAGGCAGAAAACTAGACCTCTGAGACAACTACACCTAATATTCAAGGTTTTATAGAAGTGTGGAAATATATTAGTGGGCAGAGGAAGGGAAACATTCTCCCCATTCAATTATATTTATATTTTTTGCTCTTATTATTTTTAATACTTTCATGGCGCAGTCTACCGACAGTGAAATGTAAATGTCACCCAAGTTCATTTTGTACGCTATTATCCATCACGCAGCCCAGCATCAACATGTGCACTTCCAATTTGTTTGAAAAATATAACTAAACGTAATGAATATGAAAAAAAAAGTCTTGGTTTGGAGCTACATGACCACATATAATGAGATATATTTTCCACTAATGAAAAAAGAGAAAGAAAATCAGCTTTTTACATCTTGCTTGAGGAACACAAAATTTGTTCAGGTTAGTGTAAGACTGTAATAACAACCAAGGTAATCAGCAGAATAACAAGTGTAATCAAATAGATTACACTGCAGCAAAAGAGTGGTGACCCTTGGCCACCAATCAGAAATCAGCATTTTTGTGTCTGCTTGCAATGAGCAACTGAATATTGACAGCCCAAAGTTTCTTTTTTTGCACAAGTTTGTTTAAACAATATTGAACATTGTTTTATAGGAGGGAGCTGTTAAAGTGTTACTAAACCCCGGACCCTGCATTCACTATATCTGGTCTACCACAGTACACACAACATGGAAGTGCAATTATTTTAGTAAATATAACGTGCTAAATACCTTTTCTCATCACAAGTTAGAGCAGTCTTGTGGCTTCTATCAGTGTTCAGCCAAGCACTAGGTAAAGCTTGTAGGAGGAATTTTCTTTCTGCTCTAGGAGGATGGAAATCCCCTGACCTCAGTCTGGACAGTGCTGCACTCTCCAAAGAAAAAAACAACCTCTCTAGCAATATACACCAAACTGAGCATGTGCATGCCTAGGGTTCAGTCTGAAGATAAGTGGTTGTTGCTTGAAAAAGGGGAGGAACAAAGAAGAAGGGATCAAACAGCCTTTTTACACAATGCAGAGGATTAACCCCTTAGGTTCCACAGTGAGTATAACAAGCATGTTTTACTGTATATACAGACTGATTTTACTGTTGTGGGTTTAGTAACACTTTAAAATCATTAAAGCCAAGTGAGACTTCAGTTTAAATTGGCTAAATGAATTGCAGGTGCATCAAAACAAAAAGGTGTTCAAGGTCCTACAGTTTGTTTTCTCTCCAATCAGAGGGGGGCATACATTTTACTGATTGCAGAGCTTTAGGTTCGGCTCAGCATGGGGTGCAATGGACCTCTGTAGAGAGATCATTGCTACTACATAGAAAGAAAGAGTTCTTTCTGTATCATGTTGGCAGGGGGCAAGCTTTTTTATTCTGTCTCCTGCTATGTTCTAAAAAAATTAACTGTAAGCACAAAGTAGGAACATTTTACAGACTTTTGTTTTGATGCACCTGGAATGTATTCAGCTTCTGACATTTTTTATGTATTATTCTGTATTCTCACCTACATGTAAAAATCATTAAAATTACTTAGAACTAAATATATATATCAGAGCCCCTAGAGAATAAAATGGTGGAGGGCAAGTTTTTTGGGAAAAAATACAATTTAATGAATTTTAGTGCACAAAAACATAATAAAATACCCATTGTTTTGGTAAAATATAAAAGATGATGTTACATCAAGTAAATAGATACCTAGCATATCATGCTTCTGAATTGCGTACAGCCATAGAATGGCGCCAAAGTATGGTGCCTAAAAATCTCCAAAGGCGACACTTTAAAAGCTTTTACTGGTTACCAGTAGAGATGAGCGAAGAAATGAAAAATTCGATTCGACTGATTCGGCGAATTCGTGGACAATATTCGATTCGAGTCGAATAAATTCGCTGTGAATTTAACTTAAAAAAGGGTGTTTTCTAGGCTTCAGAGAGACTTAATATTAGTGCAGAACACTGTACCTTTAATTTAAATGCCCTTGGAGTCTGCTGGGGAAGAGAAATAATACTGTCCACTCAGTATGACATGCAGATGAGTGCCGTCGATCTTAGAATCACCGCACACTTCACTCATTTGGCCAGTCACGGGGCCAAAACCAGTGTTTGGAGCCACAGTGTGGCGGTGGAGGCAGCAGCAATGGGAGGCCATACAGCAACCTATGACAAAATGGAAACCAGCAGGAGTGTGAGGAGACCTGAAAGTGGCACATGGCAGAGTGGAGCAATGGGAGGCGGTACAAGGACCCATGTCACACTGTGGACCCAGCAGCAGCGTGACGAGGCGGTACGGGGGCCCATGGCAGATTTGGGGCCTGGCAGCACCTATGGAAGGCCTGTAATCTGCCAGCAACCTATGACAAAATGGAAACCAGCAGGAGTGTGAGGAGACCTGAAAGTGGCACATGGCAGAGTGGGAGCAATGGGAGGCGGTACAGGGACCCATGTCACACTGTGGACCCAGCAGCAGCGTGACCAGGCGGTACGGGGGCCCATGGCAGATTACAGGCCTGGCAGCAGCAATGGGAGGCCCGTAATCTGCCAGCACCCTATGACAAAAAAATGGAACACACCAGCAGTGTGTGAGGAGACCTGGGGAAAGTGGCACATGGCAGAGTGTGGCGATGGAGACAGCAGCAATGGGAGGCCGTACAGGGACCCATGAGAGACTGTGGACCTGGCAGCAGCAGCATGAGGAGGCGGTATAGGGGCCCATGGCAGATTAGGGGCCTGGCAGCAGCTATAGGAGGCCCGTAATCTGCCAGCACCCTATGACAAAAAATTGAACACACCAGCAGTGTGTGAGGAGACCTGGAAGTGGCACATGGCATGAGAGACTCTGGACCTGGCAGCAGCATGAGGAGGCGGTATATAGGGGCCCATGGCAGATTAGGGCCTGGCAGCAGCTATGGGAGGCCCGTAATCTGCCAGCACCCTATGTCAAAAAATTGAAAAACACAAGCAGTGTGTGAGGAGACCTGAAAGTGGCACATGTTTGGGGCATGATTCATGGCGGATTTAGTCAGTTGTGTCAGGAACTGGTGGTTTGAAATCCAGACTAATCCACGCCTGATTCATTTTCACAAATGTGAGTCTCTCCACACTTTGGGTGGACAGTCGTGTCCTCCGCGGAGTTGCAATACCTCCTGCCGTACTAAACACGCGCTCCGATGCCACGCTACTGGCCGGGCATGACAGCCTTTCAAGGGCAAATTCAGCTAGTTGGGGTCAAAGGTCAAGTTTCGTTGCCCCAGTAGTCAAGGGATTGTCTACCTCCGGTTGGCAGGGTGCTGTCCAAGTAGGCCCAAGCCTGTTGTTTGAGGTCCTGCTCCAGGTCCACCTGATGCTGCTGCTACTGCTACGGCTGGTTAGTAAGTTCCTCACTGCGCTGGTGAAGAAAGCTACTCATCATCGACTGCAGACTGAGGCAGCCGCTGCTGGTGGAGCTGCCACTGCTCCTACCACCCCACCCCTCCCCTGCTGCCATGGCAGCGGAACGCGAGCGCACAGGGCCCACAGTGTCTGAGGATGGACGTTGGCGCAGAAAGGCAGAGACCAGCTGACTACATAGGTGGTTTTTATAGTACGTTATTTTGGCCTCCCTCTCAGCAGGTGTGAAAAAGGCCACCATTTTTGAACGGTAGCGAGGGTCCAACAAGGTGGACAGCCAAAAAGTCATCCCTCTGTCTGATGGTTATTATTCGGCTGTCGCTACGCAAGCAAGCGAGCATGCTATGGTGGGCTCCCATTTGTGCCCAAGGAATGCGAGGGACCTCCCTGCCTCCATCTCCACAGCATACTGCCACGGTGCGTCTGGGTCCTCTGTCTCCTCCCCTCTCCTCCTCTACCAGATGCTCCTGCTCCTCCACTCCTGTCCGCTGAGTGGAAAAACCACCCCATTTCACTCAATAATTCCTGAGCACCAATGTCCTCCTCTACCTCCTCCTCTTCTTCCTGTCTGCCCCCACAGGGGTCATGTGGCGTTGAGATCTGTGCGCCACGTCTACGCACCCTGACCAGCCATTGTTAACAGGCATTTGTTCCAGGACGTGCAACAGAGGAATGACGTCGTTCATCCCATAGTCCTGCCGACTCACGAATAGCGTGGCCTCCTCAAAGGGCCTGAGCAAGCGCAGGTGTCACGCATGAGCTGCCAATGGCTGACATCTAAGTTACACAGGGAGTACCTTTATCCGCTTTTAACATCAGGAAATCGGTGATGGCCTTTCGCTGTTCGTAAAGGCGGTCTAACATATGTAGGGTTGAATTCCACCTTGTGCAAACGTCACAGCATGAGGAGTCGGTACGGGGGCCCATGGCAGATTACGTGCCTGGCAGCAGCAATGTAGGAGCCCGTAATCCTGCCAGCACCCTATGTCAAAAAATTGAACACACCAGCAGTGTGAGGAGACCTGAAAGTGGCACATCGGCAGAGTGTGGCTATGGAGACAGCAGCAATGGGAGGCCCGTATAGGGACCCCTGACACACTCTGGACTTGGCAGCACATGAGGAGGCGGTATAGGGGCCCATGGCAGATTAGGGGCCTGGCAGCAGCTATGGGAGGCCCGTAATCTGCCAGCACCCTATGTCAAAAAATTCAACACACCAGCAGTGTGAGGAGACCTGAAAGTGGCACATGGCATGAGAGACTGTGGACCTGGCAGCAGCATGAGGAGGCGGTATAGGGGCACCCCATGGCAGATAGGGGCCTGGCAGCAGCTATGGGAGGCCCGTAATCTGCCAGCACCCTATGACAAAAAATTGAACACACCAGCAGTGTGTGAGGAGACCTGAAAGTGGCACATGGCAGAGTGGCGATGGAACAGCAGCAATGGGAGGCCGTACAGGGACCCATGACACACTCTGGACTTGGCAGCAGCATGAGGAGGCGGTATAGGGGCCCATGGCAGATTAGGGGCCTGGCAGCAGCTATGTGAGGCCCATTCCAATCTGCCAGCACCCTATGACAAAAAATGTAACACACCAGCAGTGTGAGGAGACCTGAAAGTGGCACATGGCAGAGTGTGGCGATGGAGACAGCAGCAATGGGAGGCCCGTTACAGGGACCCATGAGAGACTCCCCTACTTGGCAGCAGCATGAGCAGGCGGTATATAGGGGCCTATGGCAGATTAGGGGCCTGCAGCAGCTAAGGAGGCCCGTAATCTGCCAGCACCCTATGTCCAAAAAAATCCCCCTCAACACACCAGCAGTGTGTGAGGAGACCTGAAAGTGGCACATGGCAGAGTGTGGCGATGGAGAAAAGCAGCAATGGGAGGCCGTATAGGGACCCATGAGAGACTCTGGACTTGGAGCAGCAGCATGAGGAGGCGGTATATAGGGCCCATGGCAGATTAGGGGCCTGGCAGCAGCTATGGGAGGCCCGTAATCTGCCAGCACCCTATGTCAAAAAATTCAACACACCACAGTGTGAGGAGACCTGAAAGTAGCACATGGCAGAGTGTGGCGATGGAGACAGCAGCAATGGAGGAGGCTGTACAGGGACCCATGAGAGACTCTGGACCTGGCAGCAGCATGAGGAGGCGGTATATCGGGGCCCTATGGCAGATTTAAGGGGCCTGGCAGCAGCTATAGGAGGCCCGTAATCTGCCAGCCACCCTATGTCAAAAAAATTCAACACTACCACGCAGTGTGTGAGGAGAACCTGAAAGTGGCACATGGCAAGTGTGGCGATGGAGACAGCAGCAATGGGAGGCCGTTATAGGGACCCATGAGAGACTCTGGACTTGGCAGCAGCTTGAGAGGCGGTATATAGGGGCCCATGGCAGATTAGGGGGCCTGGCAGCAGCTAAGGGAGGCCCGTAATCTGCCAGCAGCCTAAGTCAAAAAATTGAAAACACAAGCAGTGTAAGAGACCTGAATGGGGCACATGGCAGATTGTGGCGATGGTGAAACAGCACGCAATGGGAGGCCGTACAGGGACCCATGGAGAGACTCTGGACCTGCAGCAGCATGAGGAGGCGGTATATAGGGCCCATGGCAGATTAGGGGCCTGGCAGCAGCTATGGGAGGCCCGTAATCTGCCAGCACCCAAATATGTCAAAAAAAAAACCAAAAACAAAAACACCAATTCAACACACAATGACAGCAGTGTGAGGAACCTGAAAGTGGCACATGCATTTATGTGGCGAAGAGACAGCAGCAATGGGAGGCCGTACAGGGGACCCATGAGAGACTCTGGACCTGGCAGCAGCATGAGGAGCGTATATAGGGGTCTATGGCAGATTAGGGGCCTGGGCAGCAGCTATAGGAGGCCCGTACTTTGCGCACCCTAATTGGTCAACAAATTCAACACACCAGCAGTGTGTGAGGAGACCTGAAACTGGCCACATGGCAGAGTGTGGGCGATGGAGACAGCAGCAATGGGAAGGCCGGAGTATAGGTGACCCATGAGAGGACTCCTGGACTTGGCAGCAGCATGAGGAGGCGGTATATCGGGGCCCCATGGCAGATTAGGGGCCTGGCAGCAGCTATGGGTGGTAGGCCCGTAATCTGCCAGCACCCTATGTCAAAAAATTGAAAACACAAGCAGTGTTGGAAGAGACCTGAATGTGGCACATGGCAGAGATGTGGCGATGGAGACAGCAGCAATGGGAGGCCGTACAGGGACCCATGAGAGACTCTGGACCTGGCAGCAGCATGAGGAGGCGGTATATAGGGGCCCATGCAGATTAGGGCCTGGCAAGCAGCTATGGGAGGCCCGTAATCTGCCAGCACCCTATGTCAAAAAATTCAACACACCAGCAAGTGTGAGGAGACCTGAATGTGGCACATGGCAGAGTGTGGCGCTGTGAGACAGCAGCAATGGGAGGGCCGTACAGGGACCCATGAGAGACTTCTGGACCTGGCAGCAGCATGAGGAGGCGGTATATAGGGGCCCATGGCAGATTAGGGGCCTGGCAAGCAGCTATGGGAGCCCGTAATCTGCCAGCACCCTATGTCAAAAAATTCAAACACACCAGCAGTGTGTGAGAGACCTGAAAGTAGCACATGGCAGAGTGTGGCGATGGAGAACAGCAGCAATGGAGGCTGTACAGGGACCCATGAGAGACTCTGGACCTGGCAGCAGCATGAGGAGGCGGTAATATAGGGGCCCATTGGCAGATTAGGGGGCCTGGCAGCAGCTATAGGAGGCCCCTAATCTGCCAGCACCCTAAGTCAAAAAATTTCAACACACAGCAGCAGTGTGTGAGGAGACCTCAAAGTGGCACATGTTTGAGGCATGGATCTCATGGCGGATTTAGTCAGTTGTGTCAGGAACTGGTGGTTTGAAATCCAGACTAATCCACACGCCTGATTCATTTTCACAAACGTGAGTCTCTCCACACTTTGGGTAGGACAGTCCCGTGGTCCAGACTCCGCGGAGTACAAACCTCCTGCCTGCACTAAACACGCTCTCCGATGGCACGCTACTGGCCGGGCATGGAAAGCCTTTCAAGGGCAAATTCAGCTAGTTGGGAGCCAAAGGTCAAGTTTTCGTTGCCAGTAGTCAAGGGGATTGTCTACCTCGGTGGCAGGGTGCTGTCCATCCCCGTAGGCCCAAGCCGCTGTTGTGTTTGAGGTCCTGGCTCCAGGTCCACCTGATGCATAGCTGCTTGCTGCTGCTAGCTGCTTGCGGCTGGTTTGTAGTTTCCTCACTGCGC